GGGCTTTTGCGGCTGACAGCCTTTTTCCCTCTTGCAGGTGGCGTTCGTCTTCAGCTCGGTGGTGTACGGTACCAGCTACCGGTCCATGAACTCCATGGCAAAGCCGTCTTTCACAGACGACGGCAGCCTCGCCGACGGGGGGATTGACCTGAATATGGAGCAGGGGATGGCAGAGTGAGTGTCCACACCCGCACGAGCCCAGGTGAGCAGGACCTGCTGCCTGAGCGTGCCTGCGGAGCCCCCGAAGGGGAAGGCCAGGCCTCGGCTCCCACCTCAGCCTGCCACCGGCACGGCCACGGGGGGAGCTGGAAACCTGTAGCCGTTTTTCCCAGGAATGTCCCCAAACTGTCCTCGTTATCTGAGTGCTTGGCCTGGTGTGCGCCAGTCACGAGCCGCCGCAGGGGTCTGTCAGTCTGGAGCAGTCGCTGTCCTAGGGCTGAGGGGCACAGGTAGGGGATCCCACATGGAGCTGGTTACAGCCTTTCAGCAAAGAGACAGCGTTGGTGCCCTGCACACGTCTGCAGCACGTGGAGGAAAACACATTTTCTTTTTGAAACCACTACTGCAGGTAGTGCCTGACAGAGCAGGAGGGCACGCGCTGCCCGTGACCCCGTCCTGGCTGCAGACTGGCCTTGTCTTGAGCTGTTCTACAGGCTAAAAACCCTCTCCGCTGCCTTTGCCAGCTCCTCTCACCTCCTCAGCCCTTTCTGCCTCCTGTGCCTGTTCGTTCCTCCTGTCTGGCTGCAGACAGCGCCACACGGTTGCCTGTCCACTGATCCTGGCACTGCTGTCATTCTCTTTTCCTTGGTCAAGGAACACACAACAGTAATTCCTGCAAGGTGATGTTAAATAAAAGAAGGAGGCAACAGTAGTGAAACAGCAGAAATATCATCTAGGTTGTTGTGTTTCCCAACAGCGAGCCTCAAACTATTCACAGAAAACTGATGGGCAACCGTGGACATGTCAGGCTTTGCCCTCAGCCTCCCTCTCTTGGCCCAGCTCTTGCTGGGACTGTTCAGCGTGTGCTCAGCCAGGTTCCTGGGGTACTTGGCCCCTTCCCTCCCACGTCCTTTGCCCATGATTTAAAGTTTAGCGCTGTCTTTCACTTGCTGCCAGGCTTTTGAAGAAACGGAACCTCGTTTCCAGCAGAGCCCTCTGCGTCACGCCGAGCGTTCTCGCGCTGGAAGGGCTGTGAATTGATTTCTGTATGGTTATTTTTCTTCACCAGAGCTCTATTTCTGCAGCCAGCAGCTGCCCGGGGATGTTATCAGCAGGCAGACGGGCTCGCCTGGTGCAGAACCTGCACGGGATGAGCTCTCACCCTGTGTGTTTGTTGGTGGAGCGGTATTTTCTGTGTGACTCAGACATGCAGTGTCAGAGGCCAAGCCGAGGCGAGGGAGTTATTTGTGGTGTGATTTGTGAGCCAGGTGCTTTACACCCTCTTCATCCTTTAGTGAATTCTTTTTCCTGCTGCTCAGCTGAGTGTTTTCTCCCCTTTTACATTGTTTTGGCTCTTCTGAGTAGAAGCATAAAATTTTTTGGCTATGTTTTTTGTGAAACACACCATGGGACGGTCAAGTGAGGAAAATCTGGAAGTTTGACGTTCTCTGGGGTATCCTCCGAAGCCGTGGGAGATGTGTGAGGTACCAAAGCAGCGCGGGTGCCCCGATAACTGCCCCGGGCAGGTGTGTGATGGTGCTGCCAGGGGAAAGGACTGGCAGGAGCTGGCACAGAGACCCCCTCGCTGCTGTGAAAAGGTGACGAGCGCAGTTGGAGCGCTGAGGGCTGGTTGCACACGTAGTATTTCCCTTGGTCCTGGGGTTCCGAGGTTTTTCTGCCTGAGCAATCCAGTGTTGGGGTGAGTTTTATGACATATGAATTGATGCTTGTCCGAGGCATGGACTCTGCGAGCCACGGAGGAGGCAGAGCTGTAAAATCAAAATGTGCATGGCTGGAGTCCCCATCCTTACCCTGTACCTTTGCACTGAGCCTGTGCAGACCCCTCAGCGTCAAAGTCTCGTTCGTTTAACCCCGTTGGTACGTGAACACAAAGAGTTAATGAACACTCAGTGCTCCTCCTGCTGACTGTGGCCGTTTGTCAGGTGAAGCCTCTAAATCACCTCTTTGGGGCTCTAAATTACCATTTTGGGGCTCTAAATCACCTCTTTGGGGCTCTAAATTACCATTTAGGGGCTCTAAATCACCTCTTTGGGGCTCTAAATCATCTCTTTGGGGCTCTAAATTACCATTTGGGGGCTCTAAATCACCTCTTTGGGGCTCTAAATCATCTCTTTGGGGCTCTAAATTAAATCACCACTTTGGGGCTCGGGGAACTGCTGGAGCCTGGCAGTTACTTTGGGAAAGCAGCGGATATTTTCCTGCCTCTCAGCTGAGCTGGTCAGCGTGTGCTCTTCTGGAGCTGCTCCTGGAACGCTGCAGATCTGATGGCGTTTCCCTCGTGCTGTCTGTACCGACACAGCTGCTTTGTGTGGCTCTGGGGTTGAGGAAGGCTGATCCTGCTGTCTCTGGGAGAGCTGGATGTGGTGGGAGCTCTGCTGTCACATCTCCGTGACACCTGGTGACTCACGGGATTTCTGAACCTCAGCATCTCGTCGTGGTGCTGTTGATGGTGGATTCTGCAGCGTCTGGAGGTGATGATGGTGTCCCAGTCTAAACCAGTTGTTTCTGGTCACTTTGTTGTGCTGCCCAGAATGAGACGAGCTAATTCATGACCATGACTTTTGCCTTTGTTGTCTTGACTCCATTCTTGGATGCGACTCAGTGTTTCTTACTCCAGCAGATGATGGATGTTGATGATGTCCATTAAATGGACAGCAGTAGATGGAGATGAGATCTGAGGAGGACATTCGTCCCTGTGAGTGTGGTGAGACACTGGCCCAAGTTGGTCAGAGAAGCTGTGGCTGCTCCTCCCTGGAAGTGTTGAAGGCCAGGTTGGATGAGGCTTTGAGCAACCTGGTCTAGTGGAAGGTGTCCCTGCTGCTGGCAGGGGGGTTGGGACTGGATGAGCTTTAAGGTCCCTTCCAACCCAGCCCAGTCTGGGGTTCTGTGAACGGGAGTGAAGGAGTTGGTGTTTTTCTAACCCACCACAGCACTCCCTGGGGCTTGTGTTGAAAAAGGAATACCTGCTGACCTCTCCTTGGTGTCAGGAGGGTGGTGGTTGAGGTGTGGGCAGCTTGTTCCCCTCCACAGCTGCTCTCAGCTCTGCCCCAGGCTGCCATGGAAGACCCCGGAGCTGGAGGAGAGGGGGAGCTGTCTGTTGCTGTGGCTCGGC